CTACCGTCGATGATTTTTGTGGTTGCGATTGAGTATCTGATGAATTGGACTGCTGCTGTCTCAAGTGCTCATTTTCATCTTCATTCATTGGTGACTCTTCAATATCCATTGGTATTGGCTCTTGTTGAGATGGCTCCGTGTACTGTACACACTCTGAACGAAAACAAATTTCATAAATAAACAAAATGAGATAATCAGGATTGAAAAAAAAGTAAAACTAAATGAGTTCCAAAATTTCATTATTCAGGAACAAAAGTGACACAGAATAAAATAGACACAAGAAAGAACCTTCTTGAGTGCCCTGCATCGTCTGATGAGGTGCGTTAGCATCAAACGGTTGAGAGGCGCTGCTACTGGATGGAGAGGATGAACTGTGAGCGTGATGAGGCGCAGGAGGGAATGGTGGTCTCGGTAGAAGAGGAGGTGCTTTCTGAGAAGGGTTGAAACCACCAGTGCTGCTGGTGGTGGTGTTATAATGAGGCGGCGGTGCGGGATAGCGATTATTCTCAAATCGACGATTGAATTGAGAACCTCGTTGTGAAGGCGGTGGATATCTTGAATGATGATTCGGTGGGGGTGGTGGGTATCGGTAGGGCTGGTGCGATGAGGATGCCATCGGAGAGATCGAAGATCCAATGGTTGGGATCGGATGTCGGAACGAATCGTGATCTCGTCGATTTCGAGGCACCCAAGGAGGTGGTTGTGAAGGCATATGCCAGCCACTCCCACCACCACCGCCACCGCCACGATTCGGCTCCCCACCAGCGAGTTGATCTTCGAAACTCGATCGCCGATCATTCCAGCCCGATGACCCTTTGCCAACATCCGAGTTATGCCTGCAGCAGTTCAAAATATAATTCATAAATCAAATAACATCAGAAATTCTTCTCTCTCAATTCTAATTCCCATTACAAAAACACACCTGAAACGACTGCCAGTGCTCTGTCCACCACCCTCCGTGTCATGATCGGTGAAACGTCGATGGTGTTGTGAGCGATCAATCGTTGTGATCGGTCGACGACCAAACGAAGAAGACGACAAGCGAACATCGTCGAATTTTTGAGTGCTACTGCAAATGAAAATAAAAATTAAAAAAAACTGTACATTTCCCTTGCATACACATCGATTTGAGATCGAATATATTGCTTCAAAAACACCACATGAAGCATAGTCGTTAAGCTGCCCGTCTTTTTTTGAATTACCAAAAAAATTTTTTGACATACCTCGGTGATGTCTGATTCGGATAAGTACGTGCCAGAGGTGATCGGTATTCCAACTCAGGACATGCTACTGACTTGTGATGTGTGACGCTCGCTGCTGGGCGATCATCTTGCGAATGATGGTTTCGTCCTGAATTTCGGAAATCATTTCGATCCGAAACGTAAAAAAAAAGAATTGAAAAAGGACGCATTTGGTATTATGGTCATCAAAATCAATTGCAGTTAATCTGCTGAACTAGATCAAACATTCTGAATGCTGATTTTGCATTTTATGGATTCCTAAATTCACCTAATCAAAATGACAAAATTGCGAATAATTAAAGCACAAGTGTTGCTTAACAAAACACATTCCTTTCGCTTTTCACATAACTTTTGGTTCGCTGCTTCAATTTGGATTGCTCTAAAGGTTAAATTCCAAGAAAGAATAATAATGACAGAGCGAATCCCATAAGATTCATCAAACAACTCTCTAAATTCTAATTCACATTACAACGCATTTTACAAGACAACGCGCACCATCTCGATTTGTTGTACCGTGAGCACCACTAGTTGCTGGTTCACTGACACGTCTACGGACGTTCAAATGAGCACTGCCCGCGTCTTTCGGCGAGTGACTTGAGCCAGAGGTAGCGGATCCAATCGGAGATTTCGTCACGGGATGACGGGCGCCGCTGGGCGATTTCGTTGCAGAACTAACGGATCCCGAAGAAGACTTTCTGACGGTGTTATTCGAGTCGAGTGGAGATTTCGATGTGCTTGCCACTGCGCTCATATCGCTTGTATCCACTTCAAGAGGTCCCAGTTTTGTGTCGGTCCCTCCTGCATCTGAAGCGGACGACGATTCAGTATGTTGTCGGAGCGCCTGAAGACGATATCTCTGTGCCGGTGGTGCTTTGGCCATCTGAAATGTGATCGATCTTAACATCTGAATATATCTCTACCTATTCGGTAAATATTCACAAAAAACACAAAACAAAACATTTCGACATCTTAATGCTTTCAATATCTTCGAGAAACAGAACAATCTCACACAAGACAATCAACAAATGAATCAATA